TTTGGCCTCTTCCAAGGTTTTTCTCCTCATGCTGTACATGGCATAAGTTTTTTCAACGATGAGGGAAGCCGCTCGACGCTTAAGTTCTTCTTTGAGTCGAGTTACCTCCGCAAAAATGCTTTCCCGAGAAGACCTAACATATTTGAGTCTAATATCAAGGTCGCGGACGGTTGAACTAATGAGCTCGTTATACTCGATAGTTTTTTCTTGTGCTTCTCTTCCAATTGGGCATTTTTTTCCCTCACAGCAGTAAGCTCTTCGTTTGGAGTTCAAGGCTTCCTCTAATTCAATCACTTTTTCAGCAGTGGCAGCCTCGCGCTCGGTTGCATCAAGAACGACATCCTGGACTTCAGCCCATTTAGCCTTAGCTTCATCAAATCTAACCTGCAGTGGGCCAACTTCTTGGCTAAGGGTTGACACCGCTTGCTCACTTTGCTGCAAACGAGCTTCCAACACAACAACCTCAGTAGCTTTGGTTTCAACCTCCGGGAGGCGGAGAACGGTTTGATCCCGTTCCACCAAAAGTTGATCCCACTCAGAAGTCAGTTCCTCTTTCTAAGGATTCAACCTGTGAAGGCCCTCGGAATCAAGAAAGTTGGCCTAAAAAGCAAGAGAAGTAAAACTTAGAATACATTCATGCAAAAGTAGAAGAAATTACAAAGGAAGAAAGGAACACACTGTTACGGCATTGTACATGGCGTTGTTCTACAAACACTCCCCCGAGAGTTCTTGAATCTTTTTCCAATCTTTCTCTGAAGCCAAATGCTCAAGATAGTTAGCAAGCTCCACCGGCCGGGAAAGCAGGCTGCACCCAGTAGAGACCGAGAGGGTAACATTCCACCTCCTCTGTGGATATTCAGAAAGAACAGCATAATTTTACCCCAAATTCCCATGAACTGGGGATTGGGGAGAAGGAACATCTCCTTCGTGATCAGATGTGACCTTGGAGATGATGTAGCAGTTACTGGTGGGAAAGTAGATGAAGATGGAAGTGATGTAGCAGTTGCTGGTGCTGGTGAAAATGGGGATGAAGCTGATGGAGTTGAAGGGTGCAAAGCAGTTGCATCAAGTGCAGAGCTGGTGGTTGGATGCTCACCAACCAAAGACGGTAGGGACTCGGTACTCACCACCGTAGTACCGGGCATAGCAGTTGGTACCCGATAGCGGGAGTTGGCATTTTCTACCAAATCAAACTCTCCCAAGAGCGCCTAAACGTCGTCCTCGGTTGGAGTAGTTAACTTAGCAGATGGAGCATTTTGTTGAGTTGATGATGTACGTCGCCTTCTGTGTAGAGAAGCCCCATCACCACTAGCTTCTCCATCATCGTCGACCACCACGGTGTCTATGACCGGCCAGGGAAGAGGGCTAGTGATCATGACTTCCGGAGATGACTCAGGGGCAATAGTCTTCACCCTCTTATTCTTTTCTCCGGCCACGGAAGAACGCCTTCTTTTTGGTTGCTTGTTCTTCAGCTGGGGACCCCATGGTGAAATATTTGCACCCAAAGCAGGTTCGGAGATATCTGTTCAAGTAAGTGCCTCCTGAAGTAGCCTCGCTGCATCAGTGGGATTAGCCAAGACGTCCTCCTCGGGGACAGCAACAGAGCCCACAGGTAGACCTAATTTAATGAACAAGACAGAAGGGTTCAACCAAGTTCTTCACATTAAAAAATAGAAACAAGGTAAGTTCAAATTACCATGATTTTTGGCCTTCCACCTATATTTAAGGGCCAGTACTTTCCTCAAACGAGTTTCGGGCGTTGTAACATCCAAGATATTCTGGACCCACAGGTCCAAGTCTTCCACCACCGGTGGGACCCATCGAGTTGCTGAAACACGTGATAAGATGAAGAGTCAATACAACCACAAAGAAATATTTAGTAAAGAGAAATAATAATTGAAAAGTTTTACGAGTGCGATTCCAAGCAGCCGGAAAGGATGAAGCCATTGTCAGAATATTTTATTGGTGGCAACTACAACGAACCATTCCGTCCATCCACGGTCATTATCATCATCCATGCTGGTCAACAGAGCATGGTGGCCACGTTTGCAGAGGTTTATCATTACCTTACAGAAAATCTTGGGAGAGTAGAGATTCATCATATGAGCTAATTAGGCTAACTCTTCTCCAGTCTCCTGGCACAGGCGCCGAAGGCAGTCAACCGTCCTCCACATAGTGGGAATTACTTGTGCAAAACATATTTGGTAGTGGAGGCAAAACTCCGCAATCACGGAATCTAGCTCTCGACTCAAAGAAAACGTACCCAAATTAAAGGGATACGTGTAAGAATATGTAAAAGCCCTCCTTGGGAAGGGTCTCTCGCTCCGATAGATCAGGAGCAACAATATCTAACTCATGGCAACGACAGTCTTCCTTCACGGTAGGAATACTATAAGGGCGAATGGAAGAAGGATACCTACTGACAGCTCATGTACGAGTGTTAGCAGTAGGGAATTTTTCCTCGAAGTCCTTTGTGGTATTAAGACTTCTAGGGATGATGGAACCTACCGTTGGAGGAGCATAATCTTTGGTTTTGTTCTTGCTCTTTGAAGAACCAACACGTTTTGAAGAGGAATCCATTGAATAGAGGAAGGAAAAGGTTTTGATTAGAAGAGAATTAGAGAAAAGATAGAAAACAAAGATGCAAGTTAGAAGTTCGAGATATTATGAAGTGCTTAGGAGAAGGATGATGCGTATAAGTAAAATTTTGGCGGCTAAATTCATGGCCATGATTACCTTGATAATCAGCAGATGCTTGGTTGAATCATGGGATGACGTATGTTCGGGGCATTAAATACGGAGAGACGTGCATCTAATCAACCGTTAGAGGACTGTGGAGGGAGTTATAGTAATTCCCGCCAAAAGAGTATTTATACCAGCTTCCTAGTGACACAAAAGTAATGTCACCGGAAAGCAGGGGGACTATCTGTATAGGGTAAAATATATTGTGACACGTGGTCTTCCAAAGAAAGACACGTGGAACCCAAGATGGGGATGACCGAAGACTGAACACAGCTATTACGTTTGTCACCGGATGGGATAACGCTCATAAATATGTATTAAATGCTCTGCGCCCGGTAGCATTCAATAAAGAATATTCTGTAGCACTAAGGAAGACGTCCCGTTACAGAGAATTTGGCATTTATGTTCATAGTTACATCTTCATCAATAACCCTCATAATTGACATTAAAGGAGGGCACGATCCTATGACCTCCTTCCCTAGACAAAGCTATAAATAGTGAGCCAAGTTATCATTGTTAAGGACACAAATTTTCTGGCTAACTTACACTACATTATATACAAAGCTTAATACATTTTTACATTCCTGCTTTTGATCTCATCATTGCTGTGCCCGAAAATCTTGTTCCCGAAATTGTCATTTCTGCCATTTCATCTACATTATGAGGCTAAGTATTGTTAAATTATCTTATTATTTCAGTATCAAATTAGTTCACTTGTCTAGAAACCACGTATAAATTCAACTGTACCGTTTTATGGGTAAACATTTACCCCACTTTAATTTACATGTTTTGGCTCTTCCTTAATTGAAACAAGTTTAATTTCTTTTTTTTTATCCTTTTTGACTGAATTAGTCAGACAGCATGGCAAAGCTACATGTCATCAAAACTTTGACATGCTCCTCTAGTAAAATGCTTGTCATTCTTAAACTTAGGAACAATTATTATTAACGGCTCATCTCTCAAATATTGATAAATTGAATTTTGATCCATGTGATATTGATGTCCGGCTAGAATTACATGTTTCATAGTATTATGTGCCTTACATTTTAGTGTTATATTGAGCATTTCGTACGATGTTTTGAGCTTAATTATGTGTTTTGGATGTAGGAGTACTTGAAAGTAGAGTTGAGGAAGAGCCGCGATAATATGCGTGAGGCGCCAAGCAACGCGGCCAAACCAGGGGTGAAGTGCACAAATAGCCACTAACAGCACCTGTCTTTATTTTAAAGCCAGTGTTTTAAATATCTTTAGTTTTTAGCCACTGGTTTAATAAACTTATACCTGACTGGATATTAAGGACATACTGTCATAGTTTTGCAAATTGTTTTGAAAAAGTAAAGGACACTAAGTCCTGAAGTTTGAGTTTCAAATTGAAAAAGTTAAGGACATTTGGTCCTTGACTTACACTTATTAGTTAAAACCTGTCCTTAAGTTTGAATTACAGATTGAAAAGTTAAGGACATGAGTCCTTAACTTTGACTTGCAGGTTCAAAAGTTAAGGATAGGAAGTCCTTAAGTTTTACTTGCAGGTTCAAAAGTTAAGGACAGGAAGTCCTTAAGTTTGAATTACAGGTTGAAAAGTTAAGGGCATGAGTCCTTAAGTTTGACTTGAAGGTTCAAAAGTTAAGGACATGCAATCCTTAAGTTTCAATTCCAAGTTCAAAAGTTAAGGACATACAATCCTTAAGTTTCAATTACAGGTTCAAAAGTTAAGGATAGGCAGTCCTTAACTTTGAATTCCAAGTTAAAATATTAAGGACACTTGGTCCTTAACTTGGTCTTGAACTTACAGTACCTGTTCTTAATTATACAAGGATTGCTTTATAAAATATGTCCTGAGTTTCCCATTCTCTTGACTTGCAGGATGGAAACAATATGCATTATAGTTGCTTTTAATGGTAGATGGACTGAAGACTATAAATATATTGATCATCAAACAAAGCTTGTTCTAGTACCTGAGTCAATTCGGTTTGAAGATTTCATTAAACAGATCTTTGAGGTTATTGAATTGGATAGACACAAGTTTGATGCAGTGATATGGTTTGATATTAACCTTGGAACAAGAAAAGGAATGCTTGTATCCAAAGATTTAGATCTTCACACATCTATAGAGTTACTAAAAACTCATTCACTCTTCAAGGGCTGTCGTTTCATTGTTGATATTTCGGAAAGAGTTTTTGGCTCAACACAATGAACATGTCAACACAGAAACACAACATGACAATCAAAACAAATGCCAACAGATAATGAAAATAGATATGGTTGAAGAGGTGCTTCAAACACATGTCAACAGAGAAACTCAAGATGACAATCAAAACAAATGCCAACAGATAATGGAAATAGATATGGATGAAGCTCAACCAATAACTGAAAAGGTGCTTCAAACATTTGATTCTACTCAAGTAGAAGGACAAAGCATTATAGAGATTGACAACGAACAAGCTTTGGGTATTCAAGTCTTAGAGAGTGCACCGGTAATCGAAGAAGTTACTGAAAAAACCTCTACTCAACTAACTAGACGAAGATCAATTTTGAAACAAAAAGAATCCCCAACTACGATATTAAGAGAAAATGCTTCGTTGGAAGAAATAAAAATCGGATCAGTATTTGACAAGAAGAAGAGTATAATTAACTGTTTTTCCAATATAGCAATTACAGGACATTTTGAATTCAAGGTTGTTAGATCAAGCTCAACAAGATATTCGTTGAAATGCAATGATGATAGGTGTTGTTGGTGTGTGCATGCTTTCAGAATTAAAGATTCAACACTGTTCAAGATAGTAAAGATAGAGAAAAAGCATGACTGCTCTGTTAACACAATGAAAGTAGATCAAAGGCATGCTACTTCAAAGTTGATTAGTGCTTACATTATCGACAATCTTCGGGACCCAAGGTTTGAAGTTACACCATCTTTTGTCATGGCAGAGATGCAAAAATTGCATGTACTAGACATTGGATATCACAAGGCGTGGCGTGCTATTCAACATGCTTCGGCTTTAATAAGAGGAACTCCCGAAGAGAATTATGAATTATTGTCTTCATACTTGTATATGATGACAAGTAAAAACCCGGGAACTTATACTAACAAAAGGATAGACGACAACAACAGGTAAACAATCAAAAAAAAGTTTATTAGTACGTTTTATAAAATTTAGGACATGCTGTCTTTAACCTTGTTAACTTTTGAGTTGTAACCAGAAGTTCAGGACTGGCTGTCCTTAACTTTTGAACTTGTAATTCAAAGTTAAGGACTGTCGGTCCTTATGTTTGAACTTTGAAATCAAAGTTAAGGACCGCATGTCCTTAACTTTATAACTTCAAACTCTAAGTTAAGGACTGACTGTCCTTAACTTCTAACCTTGTAATCTGAAGTTCAGGACTACCTGTCCTTAACTTCTGTTAACCTTCTTTTATATTGTATTTTCAGGTTTCTTTATATGTTTTATGCATATGGATCATCAATAGCTGGTTGGAATCATTGTAGACCAGTGATTGCTATTGATGCAACTTTTTTGAAGTCAAAATTTCGTGGTGTTTTAATGATTTCAGTTTCAAAGGATGCAAATAACCAAATTTTCCCACTAGCCTTTGGAATAGCAGAATCTGAAAATAACAATTCCTATGAGTGGCACTTTAGTAAGCTTCGCAATGTAATTGCGAGCCGTGAGAATTTAATTTTTTTATCAGACAGGCATCAAGCTATTGCAAATGGCATTGCAAAGGTATATCCTGAAAGCCACCATGGGATTTTGCATCTATCATTTGGAGCAGAACCTAAAGCGAAGGAAGGTGAAAAGTGAGGTCATAAAACTTTTCCAAAGTGCTGCAAGAGTATACAGGCGCAAAGAATTTGACCTATACATGTCAGATATAGCAAAAGTAGATAAGAAGACTTATGACTACTTGATGGAAGAACCACCGGAAAGATGGGCACGTTCTTGTAGTCCACGACGAAGATATGACATGCTCACAACAAACATAGTTGAGTCAATGAATTCTGTCCTATTAGAAGCAAGGGAGCTGCCTATATTAAGAATGATGGATTTCATTCAAGTGAAGCTACAACATTGGTTTTATGAAAGAAGAAATAAAGCAGAAGGAATATTTTATGATGTTTCTTGTTGGGTAGAGGAGGAATTGAAGAAAAGAATAGATTTAGCATTTACTTTGAATGTAAGTATTATGTTCTATGTTTATCTTATGATTTTAATATTATTTAACATAATGTACTAACTTATAATTTTTCAACATTGAAGGTCTTCCTTGTTGATTCATGGTGTTCTAGAGTTGAAGAAGAAGGAATAACTTTCTTGGTGGACTTAAACAAAAGAACATGTGATTGTTTTCAGTTTTAATTTGATGAACTACCATGCATACATGCAATTGCAGCTATCGAGAAGAGAAACATCAAGAAGTCCAACTTTTGTTTGCACTGGTACTTAAAGGAATCTTGGCTGAAAACATATGAAAGACAAATACATCCTGTAGGATATACTGATTCTTGGATTGTACCAGAGAGTGTTAAGTCACAAATTGTTAAACCTCCAGATTTCAAAGTGCCACCAGGTAGAAGGCAGAAGAAAAGACATATTCCTGCTACCGAGTCATCAAAAATAACATTCAAATGTGGTCGTTGCAGAAGAATTGGTCATAATAGAACATCTTGTATATATTCTCCGGCTCTCCATCCATTTTCAAGAAAGCATAGAGAAGAGTAGATATATCCACTTATGTTTATCAACTCTTTTAAGTTTTTGCTATAAATTGGATTCATTTAGATTATTCTTATTTGAGCAGATGTCTGAATTTTCAAAATTTCTTTCTTCTTACCTTGTTTTTGTTTCTTTTAAGTTCAAAGATTAAAAGTTAAGGACAGGAGTCCGTAAGTTCGACTTGCAAATTCAAAACCTAAGGACAGTCTGTCCTTAACTTTGTTTTCAAAGATTAAAAGTTAAGGACAGGAAGTCCTTAACTTATAGTTTCAAGTTTAAAACTTAAGGATTGTCTGTCCTTAACTTTGAGTTTTAAGTTCAAAAGTTAAGAACAACAGTCCTTAAGTTTGATTTGCTGGTTAAAAAGTTTGAATTATATGTTCAAAAGTTAAGGACAGGCAGTCCTTAACTTTGAGTTCAAAGTTCAAAGGTTAAGGACAGGAGTCCTTAAGTTTGAAATACAGGTTCAAAAGTTAAGGACAGCCAGTCCTTAAGTTTGAATTGCACGTTCAAAAGTTCAGGACAGGCAGTCCTTAACTTTGAGTTCAAAGTTCAAAGGTTAAGGACAGGAGTCCTTAAGTTTGAAATACAGGTTCAAAAGTTAAGGACAACCAGTCCTTAAGTTTGAATTACACGTTCAAAAGTTCAGGACAAGCAGTCCTTAACTTTGGGTTCAAAGTTCAAAGGTTAAGGACATGAGTCCTTAAGTTTGAAATACAGGTTCAAAAGTTAAGGACAACTAGTCCTTAAGTTTGAATTACACGTTCAAAAGTTCAGGACAGGCAGTCCTTAAGTTTGAATTACACGTTCTAAAGTTCAGGACAGGAAGTCCTTAAATTTGTGTTTCAAGTTCAAAAGTTAAGGACATTTGATCCTTAACTTTGAATTTGAAGTTCACTTACACTTAGTCATGAACTAATACTAACAAACTCAATGGACAAATCAACACTTGAGAGAAACAAAGAAATTAATAACATGATGCCTTGATATAACTTCTAAAATTGTAATTTTGCATAGCTGTGACAAAAAATTACGCTATGCCAAAAATATACAAGTGCCTTTTTAGGAATTTACAGAATGTTTCAGAATTTTTCTAAACTTGCAGAATTCACATGTATCCTTTACAACAATTTTATACAAAAGATCATCCACAACTAACTTTCTTTAAAACTAAACTACAACTCCTTTGGACAGCAAGTTTCATTTTCACTCTCATAATCATCGCCAACATTTTCTGGTGGAGTATCATAACCAGAATTTCTTTTTCATTCACCATGTGCCCAAAGATTTGCAGCAAGTTCTTTTCTAAAGTCTTTTATGTCTTCGGGTTTGAATTTCTCCACATCCTTTCCAATCATCAGCAACTCAACATATTTGATCAGGAATGCACCACAATCAGTCCTAAGAGAAATGTAAGATATGCAGTGAATTAAACAATAAATCTAAAGAACATATAAATAATATAACAAATAACAACACGTATGATCCAATTTGGTGTGGTGATCTTTGCCATTGAATATCAAATTTGTTGAAGACATTTCCAAAAGACTTGTGATGTTTGTCAAACTGTGAGAACTTTAGCAAGTGGGGGATCATGCGTGCATACATTTCCATGTGATTCATTCCTGCCTCATATGGCTCACTGTATATGGAATCGTATACATCAATCTTTTTCTGATTCAAGTCCAATACACCCAAAAGAAAGTGTGTCACAGCATTATCATCTTCTGAAGGAAGCCGACATGGAAAAAAGATTTTGTCAACTTCTGTCCAAGAAATTCCACATCTACGGCTGTCCCCCCCACCCCCACCACACACACATATGGTAGTTAGTAACGAAACTGGTTATCACCAACGCAACA